CCCCAAACACCCATCCGTATAAGATGTAAGAAATTGTGTTTATTGAATTTTTAAATTCCCTGTTGTGAGATTTTTATTTCTTTAGCCCTGACTGGTTCACCCAAATAAATGTCAAGTCGTTCTTCGCTGGCATTCTCCACATTACCGGTACTTAAGAAACTTTTTCAGTTTTTAGAACTACTTATCTGAATATCAGTACAGTGCTAGCTTGATTATTCCTTATATATATAGATGATTACTATCTGTGCAAAGAATGTTTCTGTAGATTGCGTCCTCCCACCTTGCAAAAGGAGTCAATGAAGTTAATGTACTGGGGCACGAGTCACAGAATATTACACGTTTGTGTCTAGAGAATTCTGCTAGATTCTGTCCCCGTCGTTTTATGCTAGAAAAATTCTGAAATTATGCAAACTGAGCCCAGAAATGTGAAATTATGCGATTTTGTTAATTTTAACAAAGAATGGTACAGGAAAATGATTAAATTTTGCTAAATTACGCAGGGTGCATAAAACCACATGGACAGTATATTTTAAGAGTGTATTTTTTGTATGTATACTGTGTATACTGATTATTCTTTGGTGTTTTGGGATACATGATTTAAGTTATAGAGATATGTGAGACAAAATGTATGTTTGCTTTTGTGTATGTATACTGTGTATACATGTACTGATTATTCTTTGGTGTTTATGGGTATTAAGTTATAGTTATGTGAGACAAAATGCATGTTTGCTTGTGTGTGAGTGTTTTTCATTAGACATTATATGAATAAAATCTTTTATGAAATATATTTTTGGCGATTTTTCTCTTTAAAAAAATGTTTTGTTGTCACATTTGTTCCAAACTCCTCTCTTCCAGTGGGTAGTTGGTGGGTGCTCTGGTGTGGTTTGCTCCTTCTTTCCTATAAAAAATCTATTGACTCTATCGCCCCTCCTTCTTTTTTGTGTTTGTTACTCTCTTGTAACAGACCTCTAATCTTTGGCACTGATAGACCTTATTATGTTGCAAGTGCCGTAAAACTCTTACTAGAACTAAGAACAAACCTCTCTTCCACATGTCTGTTATTTTCTCCACCTCTCACCTGTCTCTCTCTCTGTCTTTCCTGACCCTGAAGAAACATTCTCTGGACATACATCCATTCTTCTCTTCTTCTCCTTCTTCTATTTTTTACCCTTAAATGCTACGCCTGCGCCCCCCACC